GAGAGGAGAGGAGAGGAGAGGAGAGGAGAGGAGAGGAGAGGAGAGGATGGGGAAGGGAAGGGAAGGGAAGGGAAGGGAAGGGAAGGGAAGGAAGGAAAGAGAGCAAATGTACATAAAAGTGTAATCAGCTATGTGAAGACACTGACAAGGCTAGCTAACAAGGTAAGGACTAAGTCACCAATTCACCCTGGTTTGCCCATACTGCCCCACTTATAACACCTGAAAGTCCCACATCCTGTGAAAGCATTCAATCTAGGTAAATTAGGAGTACTGGTCAAAAAGGACTCACACTTACTGATGCTTGCTTAGTCCCAGTGTAGTGCTGCTGCATCTACCCACCTGCTTTGGTTCTGTCTTGCCACATGGAAGAGATGATGCCAGACATCCTCTACCCAAGAGACTTTGGTTGAACTGGGATACAAGTTGAGTAGGGTGCTATGGGAGACAGATTTGCCTGTGGGAGTCTTGAATCAGGTTTTTGTGGGGAAACAGACCTGGGCTCATGCAGCTACTAAATTTGTCCCTGTGAACATAAGAGCATCATGCCCATCACCTCAAGGATACTCCCAATCCACATACAACCTAAAGATAAAAGCTGGGGAGGGACCACTGCTCTAACCCTAACTAGCAGGAACTAGATCACATCATGCAATGGTCATTGAAATGAGAATGATGCTGCTGTTGTGACCACCTCCCTTTCACCTGAAAATGTTTCTGCGAGTTATTCTCAAATAGGAAACCATTAAACACTTATTTGTAACGATTCCTAACATTTAGGAAACAACTTCCTCATTTATGATTCCCCAGTGACTGTGGAAAACGATGTAAACACCAACAAGGAAAGTTTTGCCCATTGGTCTAAACCTCGGGGGTCCAGCGCATAAAAGCCCCAGAACCGGAGGAGGCACCAGAATCTGACAACCTCACCTCTGGACAAGACCTGCCCACCCTCCACTCCTGACACCATGACCCACTCGTGCTGCTCCTCTTGCTGCCAGCCTACGTGCTGCAGGACCACCTGCTGCCGGACCACCTGCTGCCAGCCCACATGCTGTGGGTCCAGCGGCTGTGGGTCCAGCTGCTGCCAGCCTTGCTGCTGCCCAACTTGTCACACCACCTGCTGCAGGACCACCTGCTGTAGGACCACCTGCTGCCAGCCCTGCTGCTGTGGGTCCAGCGGCTGTGGACACAACTGCGGTGGGTCTAGCGGCTGTGGGTGGAGCTGCTGCCAGCCTTGCTGCTGCCCTACTTGCTGTCACACCACCTGCTGCCGGACCACCTGCTGCCAGCCCAGCTGTTGTGGGTCCAGTGGCTGTGGGTCCAGCGGCTGTGGACAAAACTGCTGTGGGTCCCAGTG